ACGCTAATATTTTAAGGCTTAAAGATTGAAACTTTCACGTGGCTAGCTGTAGTTCACATTCATGATTGGAAGTTGTTGTTTTCAATTGGATCTATAAAGGGTCTGGCCTGGTTTCAAGAATTGAAGTGTTGTCTTTTAGGGTTTGGCGGAAGGCATTGTTAAAGGAGATATGAATGGTACATTTAGTGAGGAGACGCTTGCAGATAACCTTTCCAAGGTCAATGGTACCCAGCAATGTATTGAATGTATCCTTCCTTTTTCTTGTATTTTTAATTAATGAATTCTGCAGCTTGTTTTCAGTTATTTATATGCCTAACAAATCTGAAACTCAAAGTGAATTGTTTTATATATTATATTGTTTCAGGACAATCATTGTTTATATTACCAAAAAATTGGACAGTGCATTGAAAATAGTGTTACCAATTTATTTGATTCATTTTCATTTGGTACTTCTGCTCTAATGTTAATCAATTTAGAGGAATGATTATGTAACGTGCATATGCATTGAAAATAGTTTCTTACCGAAATTAGTGAGTAATTATTTTGATTTTCTGTTGACTTGGTTTGCATGTTACCTTAACTTTATGGTATAGCTTTGTCGCGCTGGTGCATAGTTCACCGAAGCAAAGCAGAATTTGTTGTTGAGGCATGGGACAAACAGTTCCGCAGCTCAGATACGCTCCAGAAAGTACCTCTATTGTATATTGCGGATGACATCCTACAGAACAGTAAGAAGAAAGGAAGGGAATTTGTTAATGAGTTTTGGAAAGTTCTTCCTGCAGCGCTAAAAAATATAGTCAAGAAAGGTGATGACCGTGGCAAGAATGTCGTCTCTAGGTTGGTAAGTTTTTATTTTGTTGGGGCAGCTGATTCAAACATCATGACACGGAACACCTTTTTTGGTTTCCTGCATGAATATGTCATAAAACTACCGGAGAGCAAAGCATTGCTATTGTGAATGTTAAGCATCATAATCAATTAGCGATTGAGCCTAAGAGTCCTTTCTTCAACCTATTTTTTTTTTAATGTATTTCTCTTTGTCAGCCTTTTGTTTTGCAATGCCTTATTTATTGCTAGTCTAGGAATTAATCAATCAACATTTAGTTGGACTTGTTGCGTGCATCTTATAAAATATAAATAAACATGCCTCGTATGCCAAAAATAGCTCGGGAGGGAACAAATGGAAATTGGATGTGTTTATATGTTAGTTGAGTGTCAAAAGAAGTATGAGATGCCAATATGATGCCATTTACATGCTTAATGGTGTAGTATGTCCTAAGAAAGTCGGAAAGGTGATTAAGATTATTGAACTTGTGCGCACATAATCACCAGGTAAATATATGGGAAGAAAGGACAGTGTTTGGGTCACGTGCTCGGAGTCTCAAAGAGGTGATGCTTGGAGAAGATGCTCCTCCACCCTTGTAGTTGAGCAAAAAACGTTCACGCTCTGTGAAAAATACAAAACGAGATTCACGATCCAGTAGAATGGTTAGACCAAGGATCTTTCATTGTTTCTTTTTGTCTTCTATCTGTTTTTATGTGTGTATTGTTTACATATCTTCATATTCTTTTTTCCTGATCATGTGTCCGACTGTCATGTCAATACACTGGGAACCAGAAATTGTCCATTGGAGGTGCTGCTGAAAAACTAGTATCAGCATTTAACTTGGTGGTTAGTGAGCGGCCCAATGAAGAGGCAGAGATGAGTAATTGCAAATCTGCAGTTTGTCGTGTGAGGGATATCAAGAAAGATGTTGATATTGCCTGTAGTAATAATGGTAAGAGAAATGAACTTGAAGTTCATATAGAAAAAGATTAAAGTGGTTTCTTGGAAATGTTCCACAGCTTTTCTGGCATTACATGTTTTCTCCCGAAATGCTTTCACAGCCTGAGTCAGTTTTGACTTTCAAAAGATGTGGGTCTCTGAAGCGCAATTCTTATTTCTCAGATAAAGATCCAACACGGAAAACTTTGGCCAAGAAAGTGGAGAATGAAGAGAATCTTTTGAAACGAAGTATTGAGAAACTTAAATCAGTTGAAGCATGTAGGGTAGCGCTTGTCTCACAGTTAAAAGAATCTTTACAGGAACAGGTATTCATCACCATCACTTGTTATTTAAATGTCAATTATCAATTAATACACAAATTGCCATTATATGGGGTGTTTGGGCAGAGAAGATCTATAGAGAATCTGTGATAAAAAAAATTTTGGCCTCTCTATAGAGCAAAGCTGCAGGGGCTTTTAATGGAGTTTATCCTGCCAGATGTTCAGCATGACTGAAAAGCTCTTCTCTATTAGTTTTCTTTTCCAGTAAAGGCGGATGTCTAGCCCTCGTATTCTTCTATGGATATTTTCTGTTGTGTTTGTGAATGAATGAGATACACATGTTTTTGCAGTTCTATTCACTTAAAGTTTGTCTTATTGATTCTTTTTTTTTTTTTTTTATGTTTCCAAGGAATCTGAACTGGAGGAAGTTCGAGCTCAGAGGCAGGCATGGATTTTGCACATTCCGAGCCTTAATTTTTTTTTTTTTTCTGTTTTCATTTGTTCTTTTGAAACGTGAAAGATTTTTGCCTGTTGTCTATACACTTTATCAAACCAATAAACTTTTGATTTTGTGTTGTTGTAAAACCAACATCAGTCTTTGCATTATCTATCGAACCTTGTTTTCAGAAGCCCAAATAGTTTACCATTTGCATTACCGATGAAGAAAAACCTTGGCCTGCGCATTCTTATAACACTGGCATAGTCAATGATTTTTCTCAAGTTTGGATGTTTTCAAGGCCAATACGATGTATCTTCCTAGCATTGCTGCATAGAAATCCTAATCGAAGGCCTCTTTGCCCGTCTAGACTCTTGTTTGTCCCCATCAGGGCTATATCTTAGAGTTATGATGAATCATGGAGCAGTTGTTTTATTTAATTAATTTTTTTTTTGTCAATTTCAGGTCGCACAGTCACTAGTAGAGGAAGCCAGCAAAATGCGAACGTTGCTTATTGGTGAAGAAGTATCTCAGGCATCTACAGTAACTACAGTACCAGTTGATTCAAATGCAAAAGGAGGACAAGCACCTATGCACGCTGTTCTCTCTACTTTTGCAGCTGAAGAAGCAAAAAATGCTCAATTAACGAAGGCCCCAACATTGTCAAATTCATATGCATCCATGCCCATCCAATCATTGTCAAAACCGGAAAACTCATTGCCCGTATCAGATTCAAACGTTTTGATGCCAGCACAGCCACTTGCTGCTCCAACAACACACTCATATCAGCCAGTTTTGTTGCCCCATCCTACTATGCCGAACCAGACCTCAACCACTCAAGCTCAATTTAACCCATCCTCCCAGCAATATTTACAGCCAGCAGGTGGGATCATGACCCCATATGCTTATGGTAACACCTCTCCCTTACCCCCAGGACCACCCCCACCCCCGCCCTCACCCTACCAGGCAAGTTCAATGGTGCATATGGCGCATCAACCATCACAAATGCCACGGCAGCAACCATTATCATTGGCACAGCAGCGGGCCATTATAAACCAGCAACAGCCAATGTCTTTAACTCAACAAACTCTGGGTGCTAATTTCAGGCCTCATCAACCACCTGTAATGGAGTACTATGCCCACCCTTCTCATTCGTAAGAGAAAAAAACGTACTTTTAGTTAGGTAGATATAATTAGATCAGTGTATAAATGCCTGCATATCCTTTTGATGCTTGGAGAAACAATGTAATGTCGTGCCAGTCGGTTAGGTTTTGTTGGTTTACTGAAGTAACTTGTGGTTGCGTATAAAATGATGAAAGAAGGTTGGTAGATTAATCTTTTCAGTATAAAATTGAGAACCAGGGAACTCAAAAATCAGATGCAGATCAAGCAATGGCCGAAACTCCAAAGAAAAAGCAAACAAATTGCACAGCATGCATGTTATTGAAATCCTGCTACATGTGCTCGGGAACTCGTATTCTCAGATGGAAGGAGTTTCAATCATCAGCTGAATATGTGAAGATCTTTTGGACGATTCTCATTGATTGGGTTTTTGGCTCCCAAAAACAGAGAGAATGATCCGAATATTTACTCAGCACCTGGGGGGTATCAACCACCAAATTCAGATTTCACACTTCGCTGCGTTCCAAACAGGGGTTAGCAAATTAATTTTTTGTTTGGTTTAAAATTATAATTTTGTTATTGATATAAAAAATAATTTTTTTAAAAATATTAATTTAATACATTTCTGAAAAAAAAAAACTTTAAAAAACAACTTTCATTATATTACAAATACCCTATTAAGCTATCCATTGAGCAGTTACTCATTTGGTAGGGTTTTTTTGGCAATTGAAACTTGAAAGAGAGATTGAAAGGGGAAAGATTTTGAGGGCGTTTATAGGAAGAGGCTGAGAAGAAAAAAAGTGAGGCAGTCCTCGTTGTTAACAACGTGTATGCTTAATGTTAATGGTACTGCCATTTCTTCGGGAACTGTACGCATACTAGTTTTAATATAGAAGAAGAATTACAATATTATCTTTTTAATTAAAAAAATTATTTATATTTAGTAAAATAAATTTAAAAAATAGATGAGTTATTCCATTGTGAAAGATTTGTTAATGCTAATTAAATATTAAATTGTTAAGCCAATATCATATTTTTTAAGTTTGAAGGGAAAATCACAGCTAATTCAATCAGGTCCAGAGATTTGTTTTAAAGTTTGAATCACATTCATTTCCAATTTTGTACGTATATCAGTTTATTAGGAATAATCGGCCTGTGTAAACTCAAATATGTCTAGAAAAGCCTTTTGTTTTTCAATTGAATCCTTGTTATTCAGAATTGTCAATTCAATAAAATCCCAGTTCCTTAATTCTTTCAATTACACCCTTATTATAACAATTAAACCTCGTTTCTTATCACACAAAGAAGTATTTCTATTACAGAAAGCCGGGAAGGAGGAGCTCAATGTCGAGACATTTTGAATAAAAAGTACAATTCAAACTGATTTCGATTTTACTTAACGATTTGAACTAAATCTTGGTGTGGAATTGGTTTCAAACATGCTTTTGAATACTTGCCTTGCGATACAATCTTTAACATAAAGTGGCAAATGATACATGATCGACAAGATAGTAGAGAATTGGCCAAAGGAAAACCATGCTGGTGGGTTTTTCGTGAGCACAGTAGCAACCGTCTTCTTCGCAAACTCTTCGGTGGGGGTGGTCTTAGGTCCCTGGAAAAGGCAAGCCCTGTTCCATATAGCTGCTTCAAATGGCTTGTATAGCCTCCACTCAGGCATATGGTTGTAGCTGGATATGGCAGAAATCCCGATGTTTGATTTAACAGCTCCAGGAACAACATTGATCACCTGGATCCCAAAAGGCCTAAGTTCCAGCCTGCATTTAACATAAATATTTCCTTACTTCGTTGTTGATATACCAAAGTTATGTTGTTCCCAATCTGAGGTTTAAGAAGATTAATTATAGATTTGAGCCATAGTTAATCAAAACTATGTTAACAAATCCTCTACCCTACGCATTAGTTGATGTTTATAGAAGACTGGCGACTTAATTTAATATGATAATATCATGCTGGAGTTGTCACTGCTGTTTGAACTCCTTGTTACTATTAGATACGTGCATACACCAGCCAGACGATTGATGGGAGAAGGTAGGTAACATAGGCATCTCACTACATACAAACCTCATGTTGTCAGTTAGTGAATGAAGAGCTGCTTTGGTTGCAGTATAGACACCAGCCCATGGAAGAGGAGCCAAAACAGAAGCACTTCCAACATTTAAGATTTTCCCCTTCTTCCTAGATGCCATGTGAGGAACAACAGCTTGAACCATCCTCATGGTACCTACATGAATTTGTAACGTCAAAACAACAGGAAAAACAAGATCTTGGTAGTTTTACCAACAGCAAATCAAGTGCTAGCAAGCATGATCAAAGACGCAGGGAGAGTCCTGAAATTCGTAATCACTATTGGAACCCGATCGTCCATATAAACCTTTTCAGAGTAGCTAAAGAACCTATGTAGTATGAACAGATCAGCAAGACATTTATCGAAGTCATAGCCTAGTACTAGGCCATGACATGAACAAAGACATCACATATAACTTACACAAGGAGTGGATTAATCCATGAAGAATTACCTTACAACAATAAACTTGTCATTGCCATATTTCAGGAAGGTTTGTTTATGATTTTATAAGAAAGCTGCACCCTGTGTTCGAGTGAAATAACGAGTATGCAAGCCAGCGCATACAGTCTTTACAAGAAAATCCACAAGTATTCAGTTGCTGATACTAATCTTTATTGCTGAAAAGTCCAAGCAGTTCCGTTCATACGGTTCCTGTCGGCCATGCTGAGACTAATTTAAGAGTGGGATTGCAGTTTCCAATTCCATAGTTTTAAGGCTATCGGACTCTCATTGATTGGGTTTTCGGCACCCAAAAGCAGAAAGAATTCCAGAAAATACATGGATCAATTAAATAAACAAGAGTAAGTTTTGATGAGAAGAAGGTTGCCAAAAACATTGGTATCGAAAGTGTTTTGCGCAGCTGATAAGGGGATCTCAGCAAGCGGGCCAACACATTGAATCCCAGCATTGTTAACCAAAATATCAACTCTGCCATATCTTTCAACAACATTGGACACAACATTCTGCACACTTTCATCAGACAAAACATCCAGTTCTTGGAGATAAAATCTGTTATCTTGATCAAGGTCCCTCATGGAAGTCAATGACCTGGCCGTGGCCACAACAAGGCAGTTGTTAGCAGCAAATTCACGTGCCAAGGCATGACCAATACCACCTTGGGTGCAACCAGTAATTAAAACCACTAGTTGGCCATAGGACTCCATTGAAGTACTCTTTTGGTGGTGGTTTTGTTTGATAAATAGCAGGTTTTGGCAATTGAAGAACTATTGAAAAGGGATGACGTTATTAGGATTCCCATTTTTGGGAGATGCCTTTTATTTTGAGAAGCAATCACGTTCAAACAGAATAGAATTTTCTGATATAAACGGTGCCCGTTCATGAAAGTGATGTTGGCGTTTAGGAAGAACAGTCAGATAGATAGCTATGGTTATGATAATATATTTATTGAAAATAGCAACATCAATACCATTGGCGTTTGTAGCTAACGGTAGTGAGACTAGCATCTATCTAATAGATTGGCCGGCGCTCTCCTACGGATGCCATCAAATTTTTCTTTTTAATTTAAAAATAGAATGCGTAGACATTATTAATGTAGTTTTTTTTTTAATTATAAATTCAACATACATTAATAAAATATATTAAAAATTATATACACCAATAAATATTAAAACAAATTATTGATACCAACTAAAAGCTCAAACATAAAGATTAAAAATATATGCATATTATCATATCCAATGTTATAATACATAAAGCCATCAAATTCCTTGTATTTAATTATATAGAAATATTTTTTTTAAGATTAATAATTTAAATTTCATTAAAAAAACTAATTTCATAGCATATTTCTTCATTTTTTAATTAATATTTTTAATTTCAACAAAAAAAATCTAACTTTCTTCTATGTCATTCAAACAAATCAAAAGTAAGCACAATACATGGCCAATAAAAACTTGAACAATTTGAAGTAAAGATACAAAAGATATCTCTCTAATTAAAATTTCTTTGTAGCATCTTATTATTATCCTAAAATCCAATAATAAAAAATAATATTATGATAATTTTTACATAAAAGTATTAAAAGAATAACAATAATACAACACTTTGAAATTATTATGAAATTTTTTTTTATAATATTATTAAACTCGATGTAGGGGTTTCAATTAGAAAACCTTTGTTTGTTATAAGTTTTAAATTAAATTATATAAAGGTTAATTTGATATGATTTTATTGATTTAATAAATTTAAGAACAATTTAGATAATTAATTAAAATCCAACTTGATTTTTTTTTTTTTTTTCCATTATTCATTTATATTTTATTTTCGTTTAAAAAAAAGCGATTATTTTACCATTTCAATCATTTCATTTTTTATAACAAAACACAATTGATCATTTACACCAACTCGATAATTGGTCCGCACCAACTCACACTTTGGCAGTACATGCTTTTTAATTAATTTCATGCTACCCATTAGAATATAAAAAACGAAATTTCCCACCCATAATTTTCCCAGCAACTAGTCCAACTGTAGTGCTTGTAGATATGTTTCTATACACTGAGTATTTCACAGCATAACAGAATCCAACCATTGATTTAATTGGTACGTACTTATTATCAATTTCAGGTGCGTTCTATAATTATTTTCATACATTGAATTCCCTCAATTTGTTGGAAAATATTGCATTACATATTTGAAAATCAAAAACACAAATAGAAGGGGGGTTAGGTTAATTATAACCAATAGCTTAATTACTTGTGTAGCATTGTTTGTGTAGAAGCTAAGTGGTTCACAAACCTATGATCATCCAATTTATCAAATAAATATTAATAAAATAGTTGGAGATATATAAAATAATTGAACAAACAAACAATATATAATTCTCGTAAAATCCTTTAGTGCATAAAAATATTTATTGGATAAAGTCATGTAATTAGCTAGGAGATAGAAGTAAGAACTTATTTTTGCAGTGTTCATCCCTTTCTTCTTCGCTTGAGGCTTTCGTTGGAAAGTTAGTTGTGTTTTGTCAGTGCGAAAGCTTATCAAATGGAAAGTTAGTTGTGTTTTGTCAGTGCGAAAGCTTATCAAAACAATCAAACAAGAAAATACCGGACCCCATTGCCTTGGCTATTTAGGGGGCTTTCACAGGATAAATAATTGTTGCATTCGCATTGCATAGACTTAATTCACATATTTCAGCTTTTGGCTTCCATCTCATGCATGCTCCATCTCTTTTTAGCCACTTGAACCGCCACCAACTCTAGCAAGAAACTATCAGAAGGATAATGGATAAGATAGAGCACATTACAGTTGCCACAAATGGCATAAACATGCACGTAGCTTCAATAGGGACGGGCCCAGTTATCCTCTTCTTGCATGGGTTCCCTGAACTCTGGTATTCATGGCGACACCAACTCCTCCATCTTTCGTCCCTCGGTTACCGTTGCGTTGCCCCAGATCTTCGTGGATATGGTGACACAGATGCTCCTGAATCAGCTAGCCAGTACACCGGTCTCCACGTCGTTGGTGACCTGATAGGTCTTCTCGACTCCTTTGGGATTGATCAAGTGTTTTTGGTTGGCCATGATTGGGGGGCTATGATCGCTTGGTACTTGTGCTTGCTTAGACCTGACAGGGTGAGGGCCTTGGTCAACTTGAACGTTGCATTCATGGCTAGACACCCGAAAACTATTAACCCCATGGAGGTCTTAAAGAGTTCTTATGGTGAGGATTACTATGCCTGCAGGTTTCAGGTAACAATTGTTCTTTTATTTATTTATTTTTAATTTGTTATCTTTAATTTTTAAAAGGGAGAACCTTCGGTATTGATATTCTGCTATTAGAAATCTAGTATAAAACAATTATTGGTATATTAACCAATAACTTAATTCTCGAGTTAGGATAAATTCTTATATAATAATAACGTTAATAAATATTATTCAATAATTTAAATTCCTTGAATGAGAGGTGCCTATTCTAGTAAAAATCTTTGTACTGTTGTAGGAACCTGGACCTGGAGAGATTGAAAAAGACTTTGCTCAAGTTGCCACTGCAAAAATGTTGAGGATATTCTTTTCAAGTTTCGGTCCGAAGCCCTTAATAGTGCCCAAGGAAACAGGATTCAGAGGATTACCCGATCCTCCATGCTTGCCCCTTGGATTTTCAGAAGAAGATATCAATTTCTACGCCAATAAGTTTAACCAAAAAGGATTCACTGGAGCTTTAAATTATTATCGAGCCATCAATCAGTAAGCTCTAATTATTCCCAACTTATTTAATAATAATGGGAGTTTCCATCTGGATGTTAATAATTAATCTAAGGCTTCCTCGTTTCATATAGATTTTTCGTAAAGCACCTGAACTTTTTAAAATCATCTTCACCACCAATCAACACTTCTGTAGAAAGCATAAAAAATAATAAAAACAATTGTTAAAACTCTTGAAATCTAAAATTTGATCCAAATCAAAACAAATTAACAAATTTTTTTATATCTTCCGCAAATGAGACCTGAATTTCCCAAGATGCTGAACATTGCCATTTCATATGTGGTGGTCATAAGCCAAACCAATTAATTTCTTTCTTCTTTTGTTGCAGAACCTGGGACCTCATGTCACCATGGATTGGGGTAAAAATCCAAGTACCTGTTAAGTTTATTATAGGTGATCAGGACATAAACTACCACCTTCCAGGGCTAAAGGAATACATACTCAACGGTGGGTTCAAGAAAGATGTGCCACGTTTGGAAGAAGTGGTTGTAATGGGAGGAGTAGCCCACTTTCCTAACCAAGCAAGGCCGGAAGAAGTCAGTGAGCACATTTATAGCTTTTTCAAGAAGCTTCAGTTTAGCAAAAATAATCCCAAGGCCAATAGTACTACATCATCACTCAATGGAAATAGAGTCTCGGATCAAGCTCACTTGCATGCCTTGTAAGAGGAATTCCATTTGTTTTTTTTGATAACTAAATGATTTCTAATTGTGTTAATTTCGTTTCAATCACTAGACATCATGCAATTTCTTTTCGTTGTCCAGGATTTTCTTTCAGAGAAATCAATGAATATTTTTTTCAACATGCCAATCAAGTGTTTCCCTCTACATATGCATGCGCTTGTGCACAATGAGCTACCCTCAAGCTCGAGCCCAAGCATACTGCCAAATATTCTTGGACTCGATGCACACATCCTAGCTATTTTTAGACTTGATTTTGTGACCTGAACCCAACACTTTTCTTCTTAAAAGTGTAATATATATATATATATATATATATATATATATATATATGTGTGTGTGTGTGTGTGTGTGTGTGTGGGTGTCACATATAACATCATAATAATCTTAAAAAAATACAATAAAAAGAATAGATTTCTAACATTTAGCTCTTTGATTGGAAAAATATGTTATTTAAGAAGTCGTTATTTAATATTATGATTACTAGGAACCTTAACTAGCTAATAAAGATTCTATAGTATGAGACTAATTACGTTAAATAAAAAATATTAACACTCTTTAAATGTTATGCCTGAAACATGTTGCATTATTGGTTTTGTTTTAAATTGCTAGAAGTTTGTTGTTTTATACTATGATAGTTTACTTATAATATTTTTCACTCTGCGTAAGTGAATATTTGACTATGAATATTTTCAACTATAACATTGGTAAATATCATGTTGTTAAAAAATAAATAAATTTAAATTAATATTTTTATTCTTGATTCTTGTATCAATAAATAAACCAATAAAATAAATTTAGTTTTTATACATGTAAGTATTTTTTTTGTTTTTTTACATAGCTAAATAAAATAAAATAAAATTGAATCAGCAAATAAATCAATAAAATAAATTTATATTTTTAAACAATCATATATTTTTCTATTTTTTGGGTGGTCCATCTCATCCTATATGAGCTATGCTAAACCCTGTCAGCTTGCCTTGGTCATTGGCCGCCAGTAACCTGGCTGGGCAAAGTCACGGCATAATGAAAAACTAATTAAAATTCACAGCAACTGGGTCAAATGATATTGCAAAGCGGGAAGAGAAGATTACCTGGTTCAGGTGCTGTAGTGAAGAGATCATTGGCCAATATTCCCTGCTTTTGTTTCTCGTTCGCCTATCTTTTCTATCTATCTTCTCCTCTGGTCCTTTCTGTGTTTGTTTTTGTTTTGTCTTTTAGTTCGTCTTCTTGGTTCTCTTTTCGTGTTTGTCCTC